CTGTGTGTGCATGTGTGTATGTTCAGGAGTGATGGGCAATGCCCCCTGCCCCCCCCCAACCGCTATATATATAAAACCAAAAAAAAAAAAAAAAAAAAAGGGTTTGGGCTCGGTACCGTGCGTTCGGGTTCGGTCACCGAGCCCGGACGAGATGCTTAGCAGAGTGCTACTTTGCCACTGGCTTCATACAACCCCGACGCCGTCTGGGCCTCACATCCGCTACACACTTACAGGCTGCACCCTCGCGCCCTCGCTGTAAGTCAATTTAGTGGTACGCGGCTCTATTCTCTATTTCTTCAGTCTCCGTTGTGATACGTGCTCACCCTTGTGCAGCTATCTGGCTGGAACAGCTAACACTTAATTAGAGAAGAAAACTTTCGGCCTTCCCCCTTTTGGGACACCGCATAGTTCCAATGGGAAGTATGCGACTGAACACCGCATTCTTCATTTGGGACTGTTTCACATGTTCGAAAGGGTCTGCGCAGCGTCTTGTGAACTTCGGGACGAGTGGAGTTCGACAAGATGAACCCCTGATAGGGTGCCCAAATGTTCTGTAGATTCAATCAAGAAAATCGCCTTATCATTCTCTTGCTCTGCTCCATGACCTGATAGGGGGCCAGTTGTTCACAGCGTGCTTGGTGGCACGAAGAAGATGCCATAGTGGCACCGCCTCCTGCCTGGATGGGGTACCATGATGATGTGTTCGTCATGCTTGTGGCGAGCTAACCATTTCGTGCTCCTAGGTCGCGGGCGGGCGATGCCATTATCTGCAACGTCCCTACTTGCCTACCACCTAGCGTGAGGAGTGAAGCCCAGCCATGGTTTAGGAACTCCGCCATTAGGGTTCACCCCAGACGTAAGACTGAGGTGATGGGCACTGCGCTCTTCCGCACTGTCGTTGCATCAGTCCGCTGCTGCTGAATGGGTATCGGCAGAAGTCTCTTTTTTGTCCAGTTGGAATCAAACAAATGTTGGTGGTTTCCAAAGGTTCAAATCCTGTTCGCAAGTTGGAGAATGTTTTTTTTTTTTTTTTTTTTTTTTTGTGTGTGTGTTTTCCCTTTGGGACTGTTTTTTGTTTTTTTCTGAAAGAGAATAGGAGGAGAGTCATTGACAGCAGTGTCGCATTGTTTTGGTGTGGAAATTTATTCGTGAAACAGCAGGAGGCCTGCAAGAATTTCAACTTTGGAGTGCTCCGCCCTGAAGAGAGAGAGAGAGAGAGAGAGAGAGAGAGAGAGAGAGAGAGAGAGAGAGAGAGAGAGAGAGAGAGAGAGAGAGAGAGAGAGAGAGAGAGA